TTCGGGTGTGTGAGTTTTTCTTTTACCTGTTTACATAGTTATTAGCTTAGAATGATAACGCATAGAAACCTAGCCCGCGTACGCTAAGTGAGGCAAGTTAGAGGCTTCCCAAAGGGCCTACACGAGCGGGCGGGCTGTCAGTGCTCAAAGTCAAATTGCACCGCGAACAGCTCAAACAATTTTGCTAAAAATGACGACATGTGCGGTAAATGGGTGTAAAAATAGAACAGGCAAACATAAAATAGACACTAACATCACATTCCACAAGGAAGTAACGCGTTTCAACTTGTATTTTTAACATTGCTTCAAGGAAAGTATGCTCTGACCGCAAATCCTGAACGTGAAAGAACTTCAACAGTTCGCGGTAAGATTTATTACATCTCCTATACAGTTCAAAGTTGCGCTGAAATCGTCCAATGTCTTCTTTATATTTCCTATAAAATGATTCCCAGATAGAGTAAGCATATTCAAGTCGTGATCGGATCAGACATGTATAAGTAGATAAATATGTAGAGGATGGAGTAGATGGAGTTCGCATCAGACCCAGCTCTAACAAATTTATACATACGAAAAGGTTTGGTACCTACTAATTGATTCTTGTGAAGACCAAAGTGCAATTTATTATCAAGTCGAAGAAGGATCACGGTCCTTAGGGTCCTTATCATGACATGATCCTTAAGTAGCCTCCGGTCCGATGCGAAGTTAAAACGATGATCGCCGCTTAGTATTTCGTGTGATATTTAAAAGTTTAATTTAAGGAAGTAAAATAAACTAGAATGCTTTGGTACCTAATGTAATATAAATACATATTTATGGATTCACAATAAACAGCGTCATCAGAAACAGGCTACTACTAAACATACCTGGAAAAACTATGTCAATATTACTTATAATTTTAATTAACATTTTTTTTTTACTTATTTATTATATATTTTCTCTTTAGTCTTCTATTATTTCCTCGCATTGTTTGAGAAAATCACTATATAAGCCTCGGCGGGAACGGGGATTGCTTGACTCGTATTAATAAAAGTATTGTAACTCATACTCGTCCAGCAATCCCGGCCTCGGGAAGTAATTTGTTTTCAATTTTGACTCTGTCCTTAAAATAGACCTGTCGCCAGCAATAAAATTTAATTTTCCAAATTGGTTCTGCCGGCAATCGAACCCAGGGCTTTCACAGTATAAACCATTGGCTCACCGAAGTCGTCAATAATAATGCTAGAATGTGTTTAGGCAATAATACGCAATAAAAATGTTAACAAAGTAAAATATGCATAAACACTGTTGATATTTGTCATACATAACTCACGACATGTTTGAATGGCTTCCGATTACAAAGGACATTACAAACTTTTCACGTTAGTTTCAAGGTTTTTAACTAAACTGCTCGTTTCTATATTGATTCTACAACTTGTCGCAAGTTTCTATCTTGTTTATATTAGTAATAATAAAACGGATGTTTTATCATTAACCCACTATTATATCTCACTGAGCTAGGGTCTCCCACAAGAAGAGGGCTTAGTCATAATTCCCCAAAGTGATGCCTACCGCCCAGTGGGCGCTGAAGAATCCTAGAGTCGGCCTAGGAAACATTTTTTTTTATAATACTAAGTGACAGGACGAACAAGTGCGCCTGGTGCTAAGCGACACGCCTATCCATAACAGTTGCAATGCCACTCAGAGATTTAAATCGCAAAGATCTTAGTGGCACTGCCACTGGGCGTTGGTGCTGTCCAGGGGGTGCTACCGCATTTGAAAAAAAAACTGAATTATCTATATAAACTACACTACATATACATTTTTTTTTCTTGTGATTTTTGTGTTAAGTGAACCATCTGGACCCCATCTTGAGAGGCACTCTCATACTTCTACTGGGTGGTCAGACTGGTCCGCTCCTTACGCTCATATCGTGACGATGACGTACCACATAACTATCTCAATTTTGCGATCATGCATTGATTATACATAAATCTGCATTTAGTGTATCGTTTATTAAATAAATAGGCAATAAACCAATAATTTTGATAAAGTGAATTAACTCTCCACAGTCTCCATATTTCATAGTCAGTATTTCATATTGTCAATTTGAGTGACAGGCCTCCTTGTATCTGTAGATAGAATCGAATCATTGTGACGTCAAACGTAAATATCATTCCATTGTAAGAGTTCTTCTATGTAATTGAATTTGCTTTAACTTCAGGAAATATCTTTGTCAAGTTGTATGCATTAGCTGTGCCCGAGACTTCTTTCTCGGTACCACTTAAAAGGTCGTAATAAAATAACTTTCCCGATATCTCTGAAAATCGGTTTTCTTGGTACTCGACAGACTTGATCAGTGCATTTTAAAACTTTTGTTGTGAATTTTTTGATATCTTATATTTATTCTTTTTAGTTCCTTAAAGTAAGAGAGTGAGATGGTAAGAAAAAGTTTTACATCCATGCAACAAGAGCGAAAAAGAAGCGTCTACTGTTCGAGCGGAAGCGAAATGCGTAACGCTTTTTTTGTTTTTAGTAGCAGTAAAGCACTCCTTGAGAAAGAGTTCGTCCAGGGAACTACTGCTACCTTACCTATTTCTGCCGCCAAGTCGTAGTGTGAGCATTACTGCGTTCCGGTCTTGAAAACTACACATGGAACTTGTCAACTTTTGTCTTAAAAAGTTGACGGGCATAAAAAGTTGACTGGCACAGTGGCAGTGCCCCTCAAATCTTTGTAATTTAAAGCTCTGAGTGGCACTACAACCACCACCAGGCGCGCGACTTGTTCTTCACTTGTAGTCATAAAAAAATGCGATTCCGTGTTGACAAGAGTGATACCCTAAATTGATATGAAATGTCATTTTATTTCCTTCATAACGTCCATTAGCCTCCGTGTTTATCAACTGTTTAGGGGAAACATTGTGTGTTCTGAGCTACGAAGAAGGCCACTCAATCTTTCAATTCTCCTCAATTATCTTCTCAGTGCTGAGAATCGTGAAGAGGGCTCTTCGGGATTGCCTTCTTTGGCACAGATTATTTCGCCCCATGTTTCGCGTCCCAGTCTTGGCGCATCATATAACGGAATCTCTAGTATCTTGGTGATATCATACAATTATAACGAATATATAAAGCAACTAAGTGCTAAATGAGGCGATGGGCAGTAAGCCAAGTGCAGCGTTTAAAAGTAAAGTGTTAAAATAAATTATAATAATTTCATTTTTTTTCTATCTTTTTTTGTATCCCGCAATGAATGTGATTCAGATATACAGTTCATGCAGCACTTGCTGGTGTGTCACTCGTCCCCAAACACCTGCACGTTAATTAAGTCTGCAATTAAGTCGGTGAGAAAAAGTAATAAAGTAAAGTATAACTTTTTCAGAAAAAAAAATTTGTTTGCTTATCCGCTTTTTCATTGTAATTACATCTATTTGCCAAGTTTTATAGAAATAGGTTAACGGAAAGTGCGCGAAACAGGGTTCATCCCCTAGTTTGCCACCCTTAGTGGTGGTACTATGCTTGTACAGCACTTAGTACAAATAGTGGAGACCCTACACGTGATCACGGAGATTCGAATTCGATCTCGTAATTCAGAAGCAATCTTTCTCTTACTGGCCTACCATAGGTTATAGACATTTAGAATCAATTCATCACTTTCAATTCTGGGTCAAGTAAATGATTGAGTGTTTATCTTAGTTTGTTTCACAAAGTATATTCTAAAGAAGGAAACGCTCTGGCCGCGGCTAATAAACTCGTATATTACAAAAATTCCCGCACCCATGACGCTTCCACGGCCGCCTCTGTATGGCTTAAGCATAAAGATCGAGTTGCTATGTCGTATTAAGATAAGCAAAGTAAGTAAAAACATAACTATATTGTTTATCATTCCTATATTTCAGAGGGAAGCAGTAATGCCTAGTAAGAACGTATAAACACTGTGTTAATAACTTGAAGTCAAAGTAAATATACCCTGTCTAGTGTGATCGCTGGTATTAACAATTATTACGTTCTCAATTCTACACATATTTTATTTATTTACACATATACCAAAATACAAATGATCGAATGTTGAACTCTTAAGTGATTTATCACTTATCAATGACATCTGTCAAAATTCACCTGACTCATCTGATAAAATTCACGTGCAAAGAACGTACTTTGAAGTCACATAATGGAAATCAGTCACAATTAGAGGTTTCTGGCAGAAATTTTTTCAAACAAAATAAATGGCATTTCTGCTCTTATGGAAGCTTTATCTATGGCTCATACCCATATATATAAAACTGATCATAATTCTCAGACGATACTGAATCTGTAGTCCAAAAAAATACAAATTGACATGGTATAATATAAAAATTTGTGTCAGAAAACTCAAGCATATCTTTTGAATGTTGAAATGATTGAATGAGTTAAAATCTGGCATATGCATTTTTACATAGTCTTTACTGATTTTAGTTGATGCAAAACTTGTAAAACTCTTGTTTAAATATATTATTAATGTAACATAACATCTGAAAGAGGTATAATTTAAGTAATTAAAATGCTTACTATAATACAAACATGATCTTGTTTACTATATTTTACACATTTTTATCTGTCCCTAAAAATTACATAGAAATGACGTTAGCAGCAGTAGAGCTCCTTGTGTAGTAGTTCGTCCCGGGAAGTACAGTCACCTTACCTATTTCTGCCGCCAGGCACTAATGTGAGCATTACTGTGTTTCGATTTTGAAGGGTGAGGGTGCAGTTACATGCACATGGGACTTTTCAACTTATTTCGCAGTGGCCTCAGATTTGTGTGATTTAAAGCACTGAGTGGCACAGTGACAGTTATGGACACGTGTCGTTTACCAACAGGCACACGACTTGTACGCCCCGTTGCTTGATATCATAAAAAAACAAATAAGGTGTATTCACTCTAAGTTGATGTGATATCCTTTACAATTACTCTGGTATTTTCGGACTAAAATTAACTAGAATACTTGTAACTGTTTGTGCAAAACTACAATACCAATTCACACACATACCTTGTCCAAGTAGCCTTTGCCTGTGGGGTCAGACAGGTCCCATATCTTGCTGAGCACCACATCGCTGAGTCGTGATTTTTTGAGGAATCGTGCAGCATCCAATGCTTGAATTGCACCTGTGCCATTTGGGTCCACCTGGAAGTACATAATTATAAATCAGATTCTAATTTATTTATTTACTTACATTTGTTATCAATATTTATTAGTAGAAAGCAGCACTGGCTATTTATTATTAAATATTTATAATTGAAATTAGCAGTGTGTTTTGTAGAGCAGAGCGCTGTCAAGACAGGAAACAAAAGCTTGCAACGCCCTGCAGCTTTCAGTAATGAACAAAAGGGTCTAATTTATTTTTAAACTTAACCATGTCATTATAAGAGAGATAGAAACTTTTTTTTTTTATTACAACATGCCCTTTGCCCTTTCATCACTAACTGCTCGCATTTGACAATTTTATCAAGTAAGACATACAATATTTTTCAACTTTCAAAAACAATCCCCATTACCTCTGCATCCAACCTACTTTTTCAATACAGACCTACCACTTAACTGAGTGGGTTCTTGTGGTAGCTATACGGTGCGGGGTGCGGGAGGAGTGTCAATTTACATAACAGTTACATCGTGCTGCACATGGAGTACTTGGTGTAACGGGCTGGTGTCCGCGACTCGACGTCAAGGCGCCTATTTTGCGTGTGGAAATTGCGTGCAGATGGAGTAATTTGGACAATATTTTTTTTTTTAGTGTAGCCATTTTTATGGACAACTTACACTTGAACTAATAATTAATTGACTATATTATATTAGACAACATCACATACGTTGCTCTGATCCCAAACTAAGTAGTTAAAGTACTTGTGTTATGGAAATTGGAAACAATGACAGTACCAAAAACACCCAGACCCGAGACAATATTCAAAAGTTAGTTTCTACACTGACCTGGCTGGGGACTAAACCCAGGACCTCAGAGATGGCGACACCATGTAAACCGGTGTGCAAGTCACTTGACCACTGAGGCCATCAAATATTCAATAACAAGTTGATTGAAAAAAGTGCCAAATGGTTTGTCTATTCATTTATCAGTTAAATAGTTTATTGTTTATTGTTTCACATAACAATTGACTTTTTTATAAAATAAATAATTATATTATAAATTTATTTTTTTTAATTAATTTATAATTTGGTAGGCAATCTTTTCAATCAACTTGTTATGGAACATCACTAGAAAAATCATGTTGAAATTATCCCATGTATACAACGACATAACTGTTAGTAAACTGTCACTGTCCCGCACCACGCAACTACATCAGGAACTGACACAATTAAGAACCAGGCCTGTAACAATAACTCATTAACATGTCTTTTACATGAGCTACACCTCAGGATGTAGGTACACCTCAGGATGTGTAGTGCTAAACTAAAAAAAAATACTGTGTTGAAAAGTTGCTTAGTATTTGTTAAGACAATCAGGTTGATGATATATCTGCATAAGAGTAAATCCTTACGAGTTTGTGGACTTTCTCTGATATGTAAAACCTTATGATATTCTCCACTGTTCAATTCTACAAATAATAATAAATCTCTGTATTTATACTAACTTTAGCCAGTGTCTGGAGTATAAAATTTAAAAAAATATATAGTTACTGAAAATTAAAAATTAATTTTATTATAATTGATATTATATGTAAAGTATAAAACAACATTTACATTACTGTATAAATATTTATACATCATTCAAATTCAGCAGTAGGTAATTATTACTTTATTACATTGAGAATAAAAATCAAGTGTGTTTACGGATCCAGGGATATACCTTCTGCACAGTACAATTCCTATATTTATGTACAAGTAAATAAATAGAGCTGTAACAACATTATGATAAGTAGACAACACTATTATTTACTTTTCAGTAGAATGCTATTAAAAATGCACAATGCAGTGTGGCGAAAAAGTGTCAACTACGAACTTACAAGTTCGCTTGATATTTTTTCACTGGACTTCTAACTTTATAACCAAAAAATACGGGTTGCAGTTCTAGTTCTTCAAGGTCAAGATAACCACTTAAGGACACGGCAAAAGGCACTTTGACCGTCTTTTATTGTTCGGTCTTTATGCATTAACACGGCGATGCCTTGCTACATTCCTTAATCGATTAGTACACGACCAATTGGACATAAATAATCATAACACTTTTATAAATATAACAAACTATGCTTACTTGGTGATAATAAGCTTCATAAATAGCACTGTGGGTCCCTGCCACCTGTGAAGGTTCAAGCCACATGTTGAGAACGTAATTCACACAGAAAATCTATTTCACAAACGAATTTTGCAAAGTTAGGGGTGTGACATTTGAACACTGTTCGTGACATTCAACATTCCCGCAAAAAGTCGTGCAATTACGACTTTATTAGACAATCAGCAGCTAACAAGCTATGGTCGACACCAGAAACATTCACTACACTTCATAATTACGCGAACTTTTAACGCGATTTCCGGACAAAAGTATCGAAATTCAATAATTTTTGAAACAACGCAATCCAACTAATATACACTACACTTCAACAACGATTTTTTCCGGTTTCCACAGTCTTTTTGAATATTCTAACTGCACTGAACGAAGGATTAATAAGTGCAGTATATCTAGAAGAAGAAACTAGTGTAATGAACTTGTCACAAACTATTTAATTCCAATGAATTCTACCTGAGTCGGAGACGGCAAGGCAGCCATTTTTTACATCTCCTCGCCCGACCAATCAATAGAGACCATAGACTAAAGAGTTTTTGACATAATACGGGCTGTGAAAATTATCAAAATATATGGAAAATGAGATTACATATTTGTTTTTGGTAAAATATCGATTTTATTAATACAGCTGCAAGGAAAAGTGTAAGAATAAGTATTAACTAACAATATATATAATCATGAATAATACATTATACCAGAATAGCAAATTATTAAAAAAAGTCAGAATATAATTCGCTATTTTGTATTTTTAACTCTATCAACAAAACTTTTCAAACGTTGTAATCCTCTAGTATTAATTTCAAAGCAAGGAAAATCCTCTATTTTCTTGAGCCATTCCTTAATCTTTTTGTGTTTTTCCAAAAAAGGCACCAACAAACGACATGAACTCACAGTCGCCGCGCATGATAGATCACATAGTAGCATCTGCAAATGAACACATTACAATAATAACTACGTGTAATAATCACCTATCTATGCAGTTTTTTACTATTCTTTACAAACTTTATAAAAAAGGCATTTGCCAAGATTGCCATAAAGAATTTCAATGTAGGTAATAAGTGTATCACTTACTTTATCTCCAGCAAGCCATGGGGTATAAGTTAAACGGTTTTCTAGAAATTTTAAGAGAAAATGCCATTTCTCTACATTTTCTTCACTAATAGGCCACTTACCAGCGAAAAACTCCGTCTGAAATACAAAAATGTTGATTTAGGCCTACATTTAAAAAAAATGTTTTGCTTCACAATTTTATTTTATAAAATGCGTTAGCACCGGATCTAGAGCACATCAAGCTTAACACTTAACATTTAAATTCAAAGGTCCAAAGTATCAAGCTTAATGTGCTCTTGACTGTACATACTAACAAAAATTCTGCTATCGACTTGAAATAAAGAGCTGGAATTGAAAAACAGCATTTCATCAACTCGGGCTTTCATCATATTGTCTACAGGATACAAGTTGTTGTCACCTTGATTACACAGATAAAGTGCAATTGCGTGACTATCACAGAGAATTAGATCCTTTACTTTCATCGCCGGCACTTTCTGAAGTGGATTTATCTGGAATTCAAATTTAGTTATTTATTTCTACCTTAATTTTTTTTTATTTTGTTCCATTATTTATCGACCTCGAAATAGACGAACCTAAGTTGTAGTATTGCCTACTAAGTACTTCTAAATACTACTCCTCTACAGAAACGTTACTTTTACGTATTTCATTTTGAAAGGTGCTATACGGGAATTTAACAAGTGTTGCACTAAACACTCACCTTCTTATAAAATTTCGACTTGTTTTCTTCTTTGAAAAGGTCAATGTGATGGAAATTTAATTCAATATTCAAAAACGCTGCCGTCATGAGGACAAACCTCACGGGAGGAGACGCGTCATCTCCGTAAAGTATTGGCTTTCTCGTCCTGCAAATATTGAGTAAGTAAAAAATAATAATTAATTTATATTTTTATATCATACGATATGTGTCACTCACATTATCACATCTAATGTTACATTTATAATTTTAGGTGACATTTAACATTTAGGACGTTATTATTAGTTATAGTCAATAGTTCCACGCAATCACAATTAGAATGTTTACTCAAATAATTTAGGATTCATTGTTATAAAAGGATGAAAACTTTCAAAACAATATTAATTAACTACTTATAATGTATACTCACAACTTATCGTTCGTGCAACTGAAATATCTGAATGAATACGTCAACCTTTCTTTTGTAACTTTTCGAAAGATAAAAGACATCTTTCTTCCCAGGAAAAATTGTAAAGTCCACACGTTTAAACTCAGTAAAATCAAAATCAATTTTATGCTCCCGAGTTGGTATAAGGAGCCGGTCGACCTGCAAAGAGATATTTATGTCGTATGCTGTTTCATTTTGCGTGCAATTGCTTTTTAAACAGGTTAATATATGGGAGGCCGATTCAGTTCATTCTAGAATCAGTAGAGGCAGTAATTTATAGTAGTATTTTTATTAGTAAACTAAACTGAAAATAAACGACTCCTACGATCTTCAAATTTGTGGTTGCCGATCAGTAAACGTATGCAAAAATAAGAAGTTTTCAATATTTGTAAAGTTACGATTAATTACTATTATTCCACCAAGTTGTTCAACGTAATAACGAGTCCATATTTGTTGCACATGTTTAGACAAGTTGTATAGTGTTTTACTTTATTGATATATGTTTATTTTTGCACGGATGCTGCTAGATGGTGCCAATTAATTGAATTCTGCCTCGCGCTATCGAGACGTTCACATCTTTTAGTCATAAATGAATTATCAGGTATACATATTGAAATGAAAACATCAGTGTCCGATGGCGCAATTGCTAAAAATGTCGTTCAGAAAAAAAATTACATTCAACAGCTTTAAGTTAGGCAAAAAACAGACAAACAACAAACGTTGAACAGTGACAGAAACACTTAATTTTTAAGTTCCACTTCCAACAAGAAGTTCATAATAAAAACGCTATTTTTTACACATCTGGAGTTTATTGCATTACTGCGATGTAATGTCACCGTTCCAAAACATAAATTATTCGTACGTATTCTTTCGGTTGCTGCGACCTTAATTTTGTGTATTCTGTACAAATAAGAAAGACATCATGTGGCGAATATCTTTTTAATATATAAGGTGTGGAGTAGCTACATTCGGCAGAATTAAATAAAATACAAAAAATATTAGTTTATTTTACGTACTTAACTATATAATGAAGGATGTAAATCATTAGAATGGTTAATATCATTAAAATTTATCAACAACTGTACTATGACACTGGCTGGTGTTAAATATTGTGCTTCCATGAAATTTGAAACTTTCCGGCGTCTGTCAGTACAAGGTTAGAATAATTAAATGAACGTCATACTCCCGTCATCAAAAACAATTTAGCGAACGAATCAAAATTTTTAGTTAAAAAAACTTAAAATGACAAAATTTTTAAATTTATAACTAATAAGCATAGTTCAAGCTATCACGTCTGTGCTGCCAATTGCTACTGTAAAAATCCAACGTTTTTGTTTAAACTACAAGGGACTTTTTTATTCTAAACTACATGGGAATCTCTAGCAGTAAAAAAGCAGCGGGAATAGTGCTAAAGTAAAGATCGCCACTAGATTTTTATGAAAAAATTAAACATAACTACGCACATTCTATTTCTGCTGGCGACTGTACAGTTTTTATTTCAGGAACTGCACAGTATGGAAAGCTGATCGTAGTCCAGCATGTAGATCAGTACTGATGGCTTTGGATGCTTTGAACCTTAGTATCAAAGAAGTCGACGTAAACATGGACCGAGATGAACACAAAGCTCCTGATATGATTGCGGTAACAAAATGTCATGCATGTTGCTAGCATTCCCGCCAAATTTGCAGGTACAATCAATCGATTTTACCTGCAGATGAGAACTCTACACCAATCATTGGTACAGTCAGTCACTGTTGAAGCCGTAGAATTAGTATACTATACTAAATCTATGACCAAAAAAAGAGGATTTAGTATACTATACTAAATCTATGAGTAGCGAAAAAAATCTTATGAGATAAAAAATAAATGTATGGCCAATAATTAAGCTTAATTAAGGTTGGGCTATTGGAAAGGGGACACCATGTAAAATGGACTTGTTTGAGGTTTTTTGTTTTAAATTGTTTTTAGTGTTTGTTTCCGATAGATTAGACCTAAATAAACACTTTATGTTTTTATTGATTTTTCTCGGCAAGGGATCATTTGGGACAAGTTTAAGCTGAAAATTTTCATTTACCATGGTTACAGGTCTTAGAAAAATTTGATCGATTTTTTGAACTTGGTGGAAATTAATGCGTTTCTGAACATGTTTTGGTCAAATGTACCATTCCAGTCTTATTATACAACAGCGCGGCCCCCGCAGCGGCGCGCGGTTGTATTGTTCAGAGGAAATTAAATGTTATTACGTAGTAAATAGAATTCAGATTTGCCATTAATGTACATGAAGGCGTGGTAACCTTTCTCCTCGTGTAACTGGGCGTTAAGTGTTACAGTCAACCTTAGTTGTCTGCAAGTGTTAGTTCAGTGTTATTTCCCATGTATTCATTTGGTGATATTTTACTTTTTCTTTCAGATGAACAGTCTTCAAACTTTGCCCATACTAAAGGATCATCGATCAGTTATAACCGATAGGTAAATTGTGGAATTTTGTTAAATAAAACAGATATAGTTTAATTAGTTTAAAAGTAAAATTTTGTTTGCAAGCCATGCTATTATGACTTACCTGGTTTCACGTTATCGCTATCCCAGATTCAGAAGAGGCTATTTGCTACCAAGAGATCCTGGGGGTTGACCCAGAATCGAACAATTAATACATTACAATAGCAGAGTATTACAACCAAATGGGGTGAAAGGGGGAGGTCGACTACTATCCTTATAGACTCCCCAACAGTCAACCTCACATGCTCGTGGTGTATCCTGCTAGTCAACGAATGAGGCTCTGGCGACCGATAAATGGCGGTATAACCATTTCGTAAACTCGGGACCTATAAAATAGCTTAAACGGTAATGGGCTGCAGCATTATATATTATTATTTATACCATACAAATTATCGATTAGTTTTCTAGTATTTCTATTTCTTCTTGTTTAAGTGTAGCACCAACCTATTGTGTTTTTTTTCTGTTTGGCCCAATGGTTGACTGGTAGAGAATGCCTTATGGCATTAAGTCCGCCATTTGTACTTCAGTGTATTGTACAATAAAGTTTAAATAAATAAATAAATAAATTATCGCAGAAACAAGTCTCGAACTGCGATCACCAATATGCCTGCCCAGCGCGGTGACTAGGATATTACCCCTAAATGAGCCTCACTATAACGTCAAAATGGCCCCCAGTTCACGGTAGCCTCGCTATTCCTGGTCATCGCGGTGGCGGCCATGGTAACGGCGGGGTAGGGGGTGCTAAGAATCCCCGGGCTAAGGATGGTTGCAGCAGTCCACTGGCTACGTATAATGAACGCACGCTGCGGCTGGATGAGGATATCGCGGAACTCGAAGTAGAGCTAAGTCGCATCAAATGGGACATCGTAGGATTATCTGAATTCCAGAGACAGGGCGAGGACACAATAAATCTCGTGTCAGGTCACTTGCTCTACTTCAGAGAGGGAGACCAACTTTCAGTCAATTGTTGACAATGTTGTGAACATCGGAAGTGTGTCGCCGAGTGTGGCGTACCTTGTATTGAAAATAACCAAGAGGTACTCCTTGAAGGTTGTACAAGTCTATGCTCCGATGTCCGCGCACTCTGACGAAGAGGTCGAATCTATAGACATAGCCAAAACTGTGTCTCATAACAAAACACATTTCAACGTGGTAATGGGTGACTTAACGCGAAAGTGGGAGTACGAGAATGCGACGAATTGAGATTAGATCCGTATGGTTATGGATGTAAGAATACTAGGGGGCAAATGCTCGTCATCTTTCTCGAAGGGCAGGGGCTCTTCATGATGAATTCCTTTTTCAGAAAAAAGCCCCAAAGAAAGTGGACGTGGCGGAGCCCTGATGGAAGGACGAAAAATGAGATTGACTTCATCTTAAGACTATTCATGAAGCCATAGAAAATAACAAAGGCTCCTTCCACCTGTAGTTGTCACCTGACAAAGCTGACAACAGCTCAGGGACACACGGTAATTCTAAACCAGAATTCACGGAAGTAGAAAAAAATTGTACGGATTTATATGCCCGTAAACGACCCAGATCCGAGATACTTAACGATCCAAGAGCCTAATTAACTCACCACCATTCGGATGAGCTTCCCGACATCGACGTGGGTGAGATTAGGATAGCACTCGGACAGCTTAAAAACAACAACGCCCGTGAGAGGATGGAGTAACGACAGAGCTCGTTAAGGCTAGCGGGAATGTCTTATTAAAAGAGCTAGCCAAGCTTTTCAACTCCGTTCTTAACACTGGCGCTATACCGGAGACATGTAGCGGGAGCGTGGTGGTCCTATTTTTCAAAAAGGGGGACAAGACCCTTCTGAAAAACTATGGACCCATCCCGCTCCTGAATCATGTATATAAGGTGTTCCGAGGATTAACACGAATCGTCTTACCCGAAAGTTACAGGCTGGATTTCGAAAAGGCTTCAGTACTATAGACCATATACATACCTTGAGACAAATTATTAATAATAATAATAATAAAATTTTATTTATTGAGACAACTGAGATCCAATCAAATTTTAGTGGGTACAGACTTAAAAGTATATTAGTACTTATATTTTACCAGGGATTGTGTATTATGTATTAAGTGCCGCATAATTGGGCACCCATTCCTGTCAGCAACTGTCTTCAGGATGCTATTAGGGCTGTCACGTATTCTCTTTAGTAGCGACGCCGACTTTTTACGTACAACAGCTGTAAAACTATCTACGCGCGCGTCAGTGAACGTGGCTGAGACACTGCAGAAACGTGACAGCCCCAACAGCGTCCTGACGGCGTTGTTGTATTGCACGCACAGAGCATTCCGAGAGCACTGAGTGTAACTCTTCCACAGAGCGCTAGTGTACATTGGTGTGCAGTAAGCTTGAAACAATGTTTTCTTAACTGCTGCCGTACATCTGGCGAACCTGCGGGCAAGCATGTTTGCTCTCACCGAGAGTGCTCTCCGTTCGCGCTGTATATCCAGGTCATCCTTGAGGTCGTCGGTAACATAGTGTCCCAAGTATTTAAAGTGGCTAACCCTTTTTAACGGAAAACCGTTAAGCAGTACAGGAAGTGCACACGTAGGACTCTTCCTACCGGCGGCTCCAAAGATCATAAACTCCGACTTTTTAACATTATATAACAAGCCATGGGATGTTGCATATGACTCACATACTCCAATTAGTTTTCTCAATGCACTGATCGATGGCGCCAGCAGCACCATGTCATCGGCATAGCTAATGTTGTTTAAACAAATTCCGTCAACAAAGCAGCCCACATGCGTGCTGCTGAGTTCACCAATCAGTGCATTGACGTACAAATTGAATAATCGAGGAGATGTTAGTCCACCCTGCCTAACCCCGCATTCCAAGTTATACGGCTCCGAAAGTTTGTTCGCCCACCTTACAACATTCGTTTGATTCCGGTACCAATACCTAAAAACGTTCGTTAGCTCCACAGGCATACCTGTGGCACTTAGTTTATCCCACAGGATGTCGTAGGATTCTTCAGTCGAATTATTCAGAAGACCGATGAATATAACCGACCCTTGTCCCTAGCGTATGTGGATTACGAAAAAGCCTGTTCTGGACTCCTTGCGGAGATGTCAGATTGTCTGCCATTACATCGAGATGTTGAGAAGTCTTTACTGTCTGTAGCCACGATGACCGTCCAAGTCCAAGGACAGAGCACAAGACCAATTCAACTCCGTCGTGGAGTAAGACAGGGAGACGTCCTATCTCCGAAACTGTTCACTAACACGTTGGAGGATGTCTTCAAGATGCTTCAGTGGGAGGGACAGGGCATCAACATCAACGGGCAGTAACATCTCACACCTTCGATTTGCAGATATATTGTTATTGTGGCGGAATCTCTGCAGGAGCTCGGCGAGATGCTGAACAGCTTAAATGATTCTTCACAGCGAGTAGGTCTCAGAATGAACCTGGACAAAACGAAAGTTATGTTCAACGCACATGTGACCCCGGGACCTGTAACCGTAGGTGGGGCTACTCTTGAGGTTGTGCACTATTACGTCAACCTTGGCCAAAATATCCAGCTTGGCAAGCACAACTTCGAGAAGGAAGCCGACAGGAGAATTCGTTTGAGCTTAGCTACATCTTCAGGTCGTCAATTCCACAAAACCTAAAAATTAAGGCATTTAACCAATGCATTCTACCAGTTATGTCCTGCGCAGTCGAGACGTGGACATTAACAACAGGCCTCGTCCACAAATTCAAGGTCGCTCGGCGTGCGATGGAGCGTGCTATGCTTGGGGCTTCTCCGATGGACCGAATCCTTAACGAGGCCATACGTCAGAGAACGACAGTGACCGACATAGCTCGCAAAATTAGTAAGCTTAAATGGCAGTGTGCCGGGCATGTCTGCAGGAGGGTTGATCGCCGATGGAGCAGACTTGTTCTGGAATGGCGACCACGTCAAGGAAAATGTAGTGTGAGACCCCCTGCGGCAAGATGGACGGACGACCGGCAGTGGCTGGATGCGGGAGGCACAAGACCGGGAAAGTAGGCGTACTCTAGGGGAAGCTTATGTCCAGTTGTGGATGTGTGTAAGCTGATGATGAAATTGTGGAATTTTGTTAAATAAAACAGATATAGTTTAATTAGTTTAAAAGTAAACTTTTATTTTCAAGCCATGCTATAATGACGTACCTGGCTTCACGTTATGGCTATCCCAGATTCAGGAGAGGCTATTTGCTACCAAGAGATCCTGGGGATAGAGCCAGAATCGAACAATTAATGCATTACAATAGCGGAGTATTACAACCAAAATATCGCGTTGCTGCGGTAAGTATATTTATTTAAACTACATTATTTAGATAAGAAATCAGGATGCATTGTAGCAATATTGTTTATAGCAATAAATTGGAAGTAATAAATTTATCTTTTACGAATTCATTAATACCACACTGGAAATCTGGAAAACAATTGTAGCAAGTGTTTTCATTGAATAAAATAATTATGAAGCTATTTATTGAAAACATTATTACTCTGTGCATTTTTTGCAGTATCCAATTCTGTACAATGACTGCAGACATGTGATGCCGCAACAAGTCAGTGATATAGAATGCTCGTATAATGAAATGGAGATTATGTTGGGCGAACATACATGGTTTGGTGGCACATGGCCTACGCTCTCCGATATAACTCTTGTTGCTACTGTTAGCACTCTGAATATTATGGTGCCTATAGATGCTACGAGGTATTTATTGTTTTTGACAATGGCCAGTAATGTTCAGTAAGTATCGTTCCTGTCGTTAAAAATATGCAAATGTGTAATTTGACTCCAGGTTCCCAAGACTGTCCAGATGGTTTCAGCTCATGTCAAAGGAAAGCTACTATTTGACTGGTAACGCCAAGGGCTTGAAGGAGTTCTCTGACAGAATAGGTGAGGTGCATAGAGTTTGTTTTAATGAAAACCAACAATAGAATTGAAGGCTCAGTTTATGGACTGTTTACCAGATCGTACGGAACAAAGTGAAGAAGGTGGAAAAATAGTTGATATCAAATTTCCAAGATTATCATCTAAGCGGCGCTCTTTAACCCAGGCAGAGCAACAAGGACCAGTGAAGTCAACAATTAAAATGCATCTGCCCTTTTAAAAAAAAGTTGAGTAAAATAAAGAACTTGTAAATATACAGATCATTAACCAATACCATTTTATTATCCCTGTAAGAAAAATATTGCCTCGCAAAAATGGCCGTTCATTGGTGATGACCAATAAGAATTGTTTGTATGGCGGTCATATTCAGTCAGCATTAACACATAAGAATATACTTTTAATGTTATGATAGTGTTTTAATTATAACCAAAATCCTTATATATCACTTTTTAACTTAGCAAATCTTTTAAAGCATTGGTTTTAACAACAGTGTAAAAAACACGATAGACATGATATTACACCTATATACGTTGATAACGGATTTATAAGCGCTGGCACTACTTTACCATTCCTTTTAACAAATTAAATGAATCCACTCCGTCCATTTGGATGTTCGGACACATGTTATTCTACAGTATTAAATGCCCTAAGCTAAAAAAATATTGATTAAATAAACCCTTTTTCGAGAATAATTTACTCGATGTTTACGTATGTTCATGTTGAAAATTAGAATTTATAAAACCAGTGAAAAAATTTGGCCGTTTATAGCACATCATACTGATATGACTAATAATAATATTTTTGTATTCCAGCCTTTTACAAGAAAAATACAAAATAGAGGTCATTGAAGTTGTCTAATTATTATTGTAAACCATAGATTTAGTATAATGCTAAATCTATGTTGTAAACACCTCGATAAGTTTAAAAAGTACGTCTGTGTGATTACTAAACGAGCAAATTTGTATTTTTTGCTATCCCTTTGATAGGAAAATTCTAGATTCTAAATTCTCCCGCTCCTGCTTCTAAATTCTAGAATTCTAGAATTCTAGAATTTAGAAGCAGGGCTCTTGTCTGGGTAGCCTCCTCCATTAAAGAGCTCAAGAATAAGTACTCATCAGTAAAAAAACTTGTTGAATGATGCATATTCGCAACATTGGTCAAAAGCTTCCCTAAAAATCTTATCTAATTCTAAGCGCTGTCACCATTGACTTGCGGTCACAGTGAGTTACTGGATCGAAGTGTTTAATACTTGTGAGGAGAAATCAGTAGTTCGAAAAATAGGTAGCCGTTGTATTCTCTGCCCGCTGGCCAATGTGTTTATTGAAGCTGGCATAAATTAAAGGATTGAATACGCAATGCGAGTACTTTGTCAGCGCCAGAATCTAAATATTTATTTTAATCGATCGATTGATCAAGTATACTTATTATACCCGTCTCTATTGTGGAATGTCACCTGTCATGTAGCTGTCAATTTTGTTGTGAGAGGAGGGATGGGGGCACAAGTTCACAGCGATTAGTTTTCGTATATATCAATCATCTACCAAGCATTGTTCGAAATTCACAGGGGAAATGTAAAAAGTTTGTATGTTCTCACGGAATGCGATGAAAGTTGTGAGAGGTAAACAAGCTTCATCTAGTAGATGGTCTCACTATCCTGAGTATTTGTTGGAGGTGCGTGCTATAGTTTGGTACTTGTGAGACCAAATAGAGACTAATTATTAGTTGGGAGGCATGTGATTTGTGTGTTAAAAGTGAAAAAGTGTTGTGTTGTGGTGATCGTCTGGAAAGTTTAGTCGATACTTTCTCGCGTCGCGGTCCAATGATGGCGGAGTTCCAGGCGAGCGACACGATGCCCAAACTCGGGCACGTAAACGATCTCCGTGAACAGTGGCTGGTCCGCGCCGACGGCGCCCTGGCACACCGATTGCAGGATCGCGAGATCTCGTCACATCTCTGCGAAAACAGGTACCGCAACCAGCAGATTCGTGAAGATTTCCCCGTTGCTCTTAATGAACAGCGAGACATTGAACACGAAGCCTACTTGCGAGAGCTCGCTCGTCGCAGGCAAGCAGAAATCGACGCAGAAATCGCGCGCGAAATGGCTGAGATTAATCTCAGGAGGCAGCGCCGACAGCATTCCAATGATTTAGCACAGCCGTGCACATCTCGCGCTGCACCCGCAGCCGCTCCAGTGCCACTAGAAACTTCTCCGACTGTGAATGAAATCAATCCAGAGGAGTTAGGTCTTTCTCCTGCTGAGTTAGAAGAAATGCGGCGACGACTAGAGCAAGAGGAAAGAGATGCCAGACTAGCCAGAGAGTTGAGCCATGAAGTTGAAGGTCAGGATGCCCTACTTGCTGATATGAGATGTGCTGTTGAAGCTCAGGATGGAGAGCTTGCTAGGCTACTGCAGGAAAGAGAGTATAAGAAGCTGCAAAGAGCTAAGGAGAAAGCAAGACAGAAAGCTTTGTTGAAGAAGCAGCAGCGGTTAGCTCAGCAACAGAGCGAACCTCACACTATGCAAGCCACACTGTGCGATGCATACAGCAACCCACGAGACATGATACGTGACAGCAGACTCAGACTATGCAAATCTGTAGATTCTGATTTGAATTATGTTGAACCTTTTGAAAAAGAGCAAATACAGTCAAAAGCCAGTGCATTGCAATCTAAAGAGATCTCTAGACAGTATTATCCTTCCGGACCTAGCACTAGTAATATTTCACACAGCCATACAAGATCTTTAGACTTAGAAAAACCGGATTTACCAAGTATAAACAGTATACCATCTTTGCAGCACCGACAACCGCCTCCTCCACCAGCTACAGGTAAAAAACCACGTTTCCCTGATCCAGTGAGTATCAGACCAGCATCACACTATCCTACAGATAATGCTTTCCCTCAGAATGAACCAAATGTTAACATTTCACATAGTTATAGTGATAATAATAATCTGTACAGTTCAACTTTCCCCCATGATTTAAATAACACCCATTTAGGGCAGGACAGACCAGATTCCTCAAAGAGACTATCTGTAATCTCTGATATAACAGCTGAAGGATTAGCTAAGAAGAAAAATAAAGATATGCAGAAGAAAAGAAAGGGATGCAAAATACAATAAAATAGCTACTATTTTCATTGCAATTGACTGTTCCAGTAATTTTCTAGTGAATGATTGTTAATTATTTTTTTAAACTGAACACACGGCATGATATTTGATTGTTTCTAGTATTATCACTTGATATTGTTTCAAAGATTGTATTTTATATACACATATTGTAAATTTTCCCATAACATTATTTACCAAGGCAGCATCTCTGACAAACTCCTCAGCTTTTAAATGTTCTTAGTAGTATCATTAAGAATCATTATAATATTGTATTTTATTACGTAAGCTAGTTGTAGAATTATATATTATTTATACTTTATTTATGATCAGGGTGAAGCTATGAGCATGGCGAGTACAGAAATGAAAGCAAATTAGGTCTAGATTCACCAATATTGCACTGACATGATTTTATATGATATATTTTCAGAACTAGCTACATTGATTTTTGTCTTTTTCTACATCATTTATTGTTTTAATGACTGAGCTGTCACAATAAATGTTTTTCGTTAATATCGTCAAAAGAAATCATCACACAGAAATGGCCAGCTAAGCTCTAAAGAGGGCAGTGAAAAATTACAAAACATTATTCATTGCACTTTCGCCATGCTCATATGTTATATGCATATATATAATGTTATGCAGTATAATGTACCTGCAGGAACCAATGAGCCATTTTGATCCAGAAACAAGTGCCTTCTAGATGTAAGACTTAGACATTCCCATACTTTGTGATTATAATACTTTCCATGATGCTTAGGGCCAATGCAGACAATGATGGACTTTTGGATCCACATTGACAGCTAATAACGTGTTGTCACTTGTACAGACATGACTGCGGCAAGTGGTATGTAAAGCTCAGTCAGACACCTTAGACACCTCTGCTGAAATGGCAGTGGAGCTGCAATCAATATTAGTAATAAATAAGGTTTTGATATTGATCATACATATTTACACTATACTGTGAACTGGCCTGTAGATATTTTAAAATATTGCAATTATAATATTTACACAAATTTTTGATTCTTTGCTTTATAAATATTAATTTTTGATTCTCGTAATACATGAATCTCAATTATTTTAGTTTTGTTTTTAAACTGTCTCATTAATGTGATTATTGGAAGATAATTTTATTTTCCTACATTTTTTTAACTTCTGATACTAAGTCAACAGTTTTCTATTATAATTATTATTGATTATTGTTTAGTTTTGAAAGAAATTACTTAATAAGAATAATGCTCAAAAAATAAGTAATAATATTTGTATTGAAAAAATCAGTAAATTTGACTGATTGATTGCTGGTTTCTTGAATGACAAAGATATTGAATGTAATTTTTTGTTTATTTGTTTGTTTCAAGAGGAATTCTCTTTTATTTTCTTTGATATTATTAGTTTTCATATTAGCACACATCAGGCAATAAATTCATGTAATATTAACTGCTACATTCACGTTACTTGTTATTTAAACCTAATACAGTTACTGACACAATACAATGTGACGCATTGTGTGTAATTCGCATAAATAGCGTCACAAAAATATTTCGCATATTAAAATTATTTCGGATCCATTCCCTGATATGCATTACCTTTATCTCCTCAATAAATGGTGCCTAATTGCCGTTAACACACTATTTGAATAAAATAATTAACTTTTATATACTAAATGTATGTTATAAAAAATTAACATTTTCTATAATAGTTGATAGAATATGATAATTCACTATAAAGTGTGTTTATTGTACTTTCTATTTGAATAAGTGATTTTACACATGGCAACTTTTGTATGGTTAATTAATTTACATTTTTTTTAAAATGAAAGTTTATTATTTCTTACAAATGGTTTACTTTGACTATGAATAACTGTTTTGAAAGTTAAGAAGAAGAGGAGCAGAAGAATTTTGTAAATCCTTACCTAGTTACTTGACATTGAAATTAGGGCATAATTTAAGAGCTGCTAATATAAGAGTTGACATAATTTGTAACCTAGCTTTTAAAAAAGACATTTAACACTTTTTGTGCAAATTTATTTGATACTGTAATCAATTCTTGACTATCCGATCGTATTTGTCATGAGTTATAGTTTAAAGATATTGCCCAACCAAATGTCGAAAGGCTCCAAGCTAGGATGCAAGGTATAATTAAATTAACACAGTTTCAAAATGTAGCAAAGATGTTGAGCAACTTAATTTATAGGGACCATCTCGTAATCGCTTACCTTGATTAGATATTCTCATTAATCACTAACTAGTCGACCAAAACCGACTGTTGTTTTTTCCAAGTTAATTCTTTTGGACTCTCGCCATTTCATGATGACCTCCGTGGTTCAGCGTTAAGCATGTGAGCACCAGATGAATTCCGGTTAGGTAATGATTTCTAGGACCAAACAAACTTTTTCACGGGTATCAAAAGTTCCCTAGAGAGTTCCTGCTCAGTATTTTATTTATTTATTTTTATTCTAATGGTACGAATTACTAGAAACCAAATTACAACATTATTTTCAAGCATATAAAAAAAATTATAACTCTACATAGCATTCAGTAAACTATAGGTTGTGCAATCTTATGAACAAAAAACAATAACACCAATATAGAAGACGGTCTTAAAATATAAAGTATCCTCCGCTTCACATAACATTCTGTTTTGTTGAAGACGACATGTGTTTTATTCTTCTGTACAGCAATTACTGACCGCGTTTCCATTCTTGTGTGTTATGCTTATAACATCTCAACAAACGAACATTTTCAATTTGCCGTGTCTTCCCTAAAAAGGCACAATTATCGTTCAATTCTTCAAAAACGTACGTAGTAGACAGTCTTTTTGGATGGATATACTTTTGAAGATGATATTTATATCTGCATGATGTTATCCGTAGATAGTAGTAAAAAAATCTAAGGAATTTCCGTAGTTCCAGAAAAAACAGCAAATAACCGAGATGCCTCCTTGTTAAGTAGAATTCGCTGACTATTCTCAGGTTAGACAGTGAATGTTTACATCCCATGAATGTTTATGAAGATTTTAAAGAAATAATAGACTTTCCCGACCGAATTATTAAAAAATATATAGAAGATAGTTTAGTAATATGGATGTTAACCCGACTGCAACAGTGCAAGGACATCCGAAGCGAATAAGAGTAGGTTGCTACAAGATACGCATTTTTTAAAGAAATTTTAGATTTTTTTTGTCAGACATCTAACAGAAGCTGAGAAAAATTGATACATAATAATCTTTGGCGCTGTCCATGCACTATTGCAGCCATGGTACTTTCACTGTTGTTTACGGTGTTTAGCCAATAAGTACTTATAATTAAGTATGTAAGCTTTAAATCGCAATGTACGGCCTGCAATGTGCCTTAACTGAACCAAACTCGATTTTATTTATAATAAAAACATTTTTTAAGATTTTCATGGTGGTGATTTTTTATTCATTACAGACCAATAGGGTGTTTCCGGTTCCGGTTCCTTCGAAGCATTGTGCAAGTGTAGATATGATCACGTATTTATCACGTGCTTAATGAAGGAGAACAACCCGTATGTTCAAAACTCACAAGATATTTGAATTGCTTAATTCGCAATGCAATTCTGTTGTGTATTTATTACAGAGCCCCTCCTTAGAGGATATCTTGTCTGTATAATAAGAGACCCTATAGTGTGACAGACATATCGCACCTTTAGAATTAAAGCGACCTAACTCAAAAAAACTAATTTTTGGAAAACTTTGGTTAAAGATTGATATGTCCATCAATTTTGTAAAAAAGGGAGAATATTGAGTTGTATTTAAAAATAATTCTAAAACAAAATATTTTTTGTTGTACTTGACTTATTTATCTATACTCTCCTAAATATAGATTTAAAAAGTGGTAATTACTATTTTTCTTTTAAATAGTGCAAATATGGGTCTATGTTCGTCTGAAAGCATGTTTTTTTTAAAGACTTGTTAATATTTTATTTAGGCCACTCTATTTCTGAATATTAGTGAAACGAAAATATTTATTTCTAAATAGGTCGCCATATTAGTAAATATGAGATCGTTTCAAGTTACAGTTTTACAATTTAGGGCATGAAGAAAACATCATAACACAACGAAAAACTTTTATTGGAAGATTATACCAAGTCCTAACAAGAATGTTAAGGCCATTAATAACACAGATATCGAAAAAATAAGCTAGTAATCTAGAAAATTAAATAAAAGTATAACACGTTCCTAATGCGCAACAGTCTTTTCTGACAGTACTGTTTATTAAAAATTAGGCCCATTACTCTACTTTCTTGGTTAAAATGATTAAAACATTACACAGTATTTTCTTAAACAGTATTTACGACAATCGTACGCTTTGAAAAGTGGTACTTAAATTGTAAGTATTGAATTATAAAAAACTGCATAATAACTAGGAATTCCGTTTTTATTAATGAGATCGCGTAAGTCTTTTTATGTTCATCTGGTTTGAGCATTTTCTTATGTTAGTTTCGTATAAGTACTAAAATAATCGTAACTTTGGATAACATAATAAGTGTAGAATTATAAAAATCAGCCCTTTAACAAGCGTAAATCCATTTTTTTTTATGTTCACTACTTTACGTTATTTCGTCCGGTCTAAGAATTTACATTCTTTCGTTTGTTTACTATATTGACCTAAATGAACTCATTTGATTCTATGAAGTTTTTTAAATTGTTATGGTAGGTTATTAATGGCAATGTGTATAATTCAGGGATTCTATAGAATACCTAGTCCTATACACTATAGGGTTTCTTTAAGTAATGTATAATAATTGTTAATACGTTTTAACTATTATACACATTTCTTGAGCATTGTATAGAATACCTAGGTATTATATAAAATGCTGGCTGCAGATTTGGCAAAGTATTCAAAGAAAGGCAAAAAACTCACAAAAATCCACATACCTTAATTTTTTGTCTTAATTCGGCTTAATTCGGTTTAGATTGTCACAATAACGAAGCCTTAACATCTTGCTCATTACACTCGCGGTACATCACAAGTTGCGTCTGTCTCAAACTGAACGGACGTAAGGAATTGGGAACGACTAAAAGAGACGAAAGTCTAGGTTTTTGCCTTTCTGCGTAAAATTAGGCCTCGAACGACCCAAAGTCATTTTATGACTAAAAGTCAAAATCTTAATATTTTGGATTAGGTCACCATAATTCTAAAGGTGCGATATATGTTGAGACATTAAAATGATAGATACCATGTAATACGTCCACCAACCAAAGGCAGGAAATAACTGCAGATAATAATCGAATGCAACGAGCATAATCGTGTCTATGCATAAAGATGAATGCACGACTGTTGACGTCTCTAATCACGTTGAGGTAGCAGACTACATGGTCATTGACAAGACTAGTCGATCAATATTTTATACCAGTTTGGGAATTTAGTTTCCTAAAGCCTGTAATTTGGGACGCTAAATTACTAATAAAAATTTGACGAGGTTATCCGGCCCGAAGGATCATTAACATTTCACACGGATTCTACAATAGGTACTCTACCTACATGATAATCGCTAGTAATGTGCTTCAAAAGACAATTTAGACAACATCTCATATGCAAATTGAGTGGTTATGCCGTATAAAAATAAGAGCCAATATTACGTAATCATACACCAACTTTCAACGAAAGTTGTTTGATCGGACTCACATAATACCCGTACCCGTACTACCTAACCTAACAGTACTTACTTATTTACAACTTACAACGTATCTTATAATTCGCGCAGCATTCCTTACTCACTTTGAGTTACTTATTTATAATTCATTTGAATATTAAAGTAATCCCACGTACGTATGTTATAATGAGCACAACTTTGCCCATTGCAAACAAGTAAAGATTAAAGTCCATATCATGAGCTGGCACAGCCATAAAATATATGGACGATATATTTTTTTAAACAAATACGTGATATTGAACTTTATAGTTTTGTTTTATAATACCAAGTGACGGGATGAACCGGTCGCGCGCCTGCTGGTAAGGGACACGCCTATCCTTTATGAAAGGATCTATTATTATATATTATATAGGTTTTTTTTTGTAACCTAACAGTTGCAGTGCCATTCAGAGCTTTAAATCGCAAAGATTTTAGGGGCACTGCCAATGCGCCCGTTACCCTGAGACATAAGTTCACAAGTCCCATGTGCCTGTAATTTCACCAGCACTCTTACCGTTCAAAACCGGAACACAGTAATGCTGACATTACTGCTTCACGGCGCAAATAGACATGGTGGCAGTACCTATGCTTCACTGGACGAACGTAGGTAAAGAGATACCTATACAAGGAACTCTGCAGCTACTAAATCTTTATCCACAACTTAAGAGTGATTTTATAGATAGAAGTGTTTATTAAATGCTCTAAGAGATAGAATGAAGTTACAAGCGCATGGGACTTCTCAACTTGTGCCTCGGGGTGATGGGCGCAGTGGTAGTGGCTCTCAGATCTTTGTGACTTAGAGGTCTGCGTGGTACTACAACTTTATGGACGGCCGTGTCGCTTACCACCAGGCGCACGACATCTTCGATCCGTAACTTGGTATCATAAAAAATTGCATAAAGGCAATTGATTCAGGGTTAATTAATACTTCTTCTTACCTCACGTTTATCGAGATGAGACCTGACGATCCATAACACAGGCTTTACCTAGCTCAGACTCCACTCTCCGACTACAGCCCATAAATATCTAGATTTCTTTAAAATGACACTTTAGTAATTTGTTAGGTATAAACAGACTCGTATTGTATTCATATCGCATATGTATACTTTTGTGTGACGTGAATATTTTTACCGATTACGATGTACCTATTCTTACTCACGGACAAGGCTCTTGAAGTTCAAGGTTGCAAACTGGTTTTGCTACAGGTGTCTACATTCCATACAGGAGTCCCGTACTGAAGCCTACCTGGTGTCTACTTACTTAACTTGTTACCAGTACATCGTTTACTCGGTAGGTAGGCAAGTACCTGTTTATATTTTATGACTACGTCCCTGTTTATCTTTGATGTAATTTATTATGAATGCTGCTGTTACGAAAAAGTGCACTAACCATTTTCATAACTCATTTATTCGTCTAAACAAACAAGATATCATCATCGCATTGAAGATATCATCATCAGATAATGTAGTAAAAATAATCGATTAATCTACAAATAATATGTAGATTAATCGATATTTTAAACACCTTAATAGTGATTTGAGTCATTAATAATAATAATAATTCTAAAATAATTCGTCGGGGGTAGTGCAATGCAAAGCCGCGTAAGTAGCATTGGTAAAAGGCGCGTACTTATCTGCACTAAACCAAATTGTACAAGAGAATGATTCAACGTCATTAATTTGGTATTTCAATATCTGCGACTTTCAATTTTGCACAGTAAGCATTGACTTACATTTATTTGTAAGTCAATGACAGTAAGCATTAATTTATGTTGTCTACGGACTGATAACAAATTCCCGTACAACGCGGTAATTTGGTTGGCACGACAGTTGCACGTATTTGGTTTGAACACTAATTTACTTAAATGGAAACTTATAAACCAATGATATTTACGCATTATTGCACTAACCCGACTGTATTTCTACATATCATCATTTATAAGATAATTAAATTTTTTTTGTAAAAAAAAAATACCTCATGAGTTTGCTCATCCGCTTTCGCTGTGTTCGTCACATCTATTTGCCAACTTTTATTGAAATCGGTTAACGGAAGGTGGGTGAAATCCAATAACCCAAATTTATCCCCCAATTTGCCATCCTTAGAGGAGGGATATTTTCTTTAAATTTGAATGGAATCGCTATTGGGGTACCCTCTTTTCAACAAAAAAAGAACCATCATAATTGGTTCACAGAATGTCGAAGTACCCAATCGAGTAACAAAAAAATACAGTCGGATTGAGAACCTCATCCTTTTTTGATGTCGGTTAATAATAATACTTAGTACTGACTTACTTTAACCCCAGATAGTAAATACTAGTCTTTTAACTACAAATCGAGCGCCAAACTAAGTAAGCAGTAATACAAAAACCATGAGTAAAACGACATTTTCTTCCCCGTGTTCCATAGATTGCACTATGTATAATTATAGTTCTGTGATTTGTGGCATAATGGGTACATTATATATATATATATATAAGTTACAAACTTCCGCGTACTTAGTGTGAGCAGGCATTCACTAAATCTGTATTTTCTATCGCCGTTTAAATACAAATTGTTTCTCATACGATTTTACGTACGGCTGCTTCGAATACCTGCGCTCGATGTCTGCCACTCATTTACGGTATTTTGCGTAACAATGACTCACATTCTGGGGCAAAAAGAATTTCAATTAATTGAATTTCATACAAAGGATAATTACGCGGACGCTTTGCTGTTTGTACTTGTAAATTCTTCACAGTTATACATAGTTCACTAGGTATATAGTTAACAACTTTTTAATTACATAATATGGAACGAGCAAGTCGTGCGCCTGGTGTTAAATAACACGCCTGTCCATAACAGTTGCAGTGAAACTCAGAGCTTTAATTTTAAGGGGTCTATCACCCTGAGACATAAGTTGATAAGTCCCATTATGTGCCTGTAATGTCACCAGCACCCTAACCCTTCAAAACCGGAACGCAGTAATGATAACATTACTGCTTGGCGGCAGAAATAGGTAATTGGCAGTACTTCCCTAGAGGAACTGTGATTTATTGATACTGTGATGTAATTTAATTGCAAAGATCTCTTAGAGGCATTGCCACTACCATGACTTTGAGGCACAAAGCTGTACCTGCAGGTCCACCAGCACCTTTACCCTTCAAAACTTTAGAGTAATGCTCACATTATTACCATGGCGGACTGCCACGCAGAGGTCCCAGGTTCGATTCCCGGGCCGGGAGAAATATTTGTATGGCCTACATTTATTTCTTTCGTGAGTTTAGGTGTAATTTGTGGATGTCTTTGTGTGTGTTTCCATGGCACTCGCGACACAGGGTGTCCCTAGTGCGGGGCTGACTTAAGTCAAGTAAATGCAGTATGGCGTGTATCTACGACTATGTGGTGGGTGTGTAATAAGATCCTACTTCGTCCTCTATCATCTGCATAAACGTTCTGACGATGCGGCATGTACCTAAAAATTACAGCTTTTTGCGAGGTTATGTAGAGGCTTTCTTTACACCTTAATAATTTAAGGCTATGGAGAAGATGATTTGTGTAGACAAGTTAGTTTTTTATACCAAAAATTGTATATTTTGTCTGTACCACGTGATTTCCAATTATGTAATCTACTTGCTATATGTGTGATGTCGAACTCTGTAATCTCTACACATTCCATTTCATCAATGGTCTCCAGTTTGTTTTTTCTACTCTTATCCAACTTGCTTTATCGTAGTGGTGTATTTGATCTTCCCAAATGCCAGACCAAAATGTTTCTAGGTGTTCTTTTGTGGGTGTGACAGTGTTGTTCGTGTTTGTGTTATTCTCATCATTTGTATCGTTGCGTGGTTTTTGTAAGTTTCTATAGAATAACTTTTTCGTATGTAGCGAATGTGGTGTTATCATTTCTGCGCTGTTGTGATTTCTTATATCTTCTGAGCCTATGAACTTTGAGTGCTAATTTTTGTTTTAAGATGTCTAAAAACTCTTCAGGTGTTCTGTTGTTACTTTCATGTTTGGTGTGAGTAAAACTGCTCTGATATAGCCTCTACCCTCTTAATTTGAACCCTATTTGAACTGTTATTATTTATGTCCTGTGTAAGTCTACCGCAGTCTGCCCTCAATATATCCATGTCTATTTCTAATCTTTGTTGCCATGGTGATTTGATATCATGTCTTGGTCTTGTATTTCTTGTGTGTTCTGTAATTTTCAAATTGAGTTCTTCAGATATAACTACCGCTGTGCAGTATATAAGTGTGTGTATATCTATAAGTTTTGTGTCATTGGTAATAAACTGTTTGAGAATAGTTTCATTAAATAAATTAATAAAATGAAATAGGTTGGGGCTGTATTTAAGTTTAGGGAGATTAGGTCGCACTGCCGGGTCTATCCCAGAGTATTGTGTTAGCGTAGTTGTCAACTTATCATATAGTTCTTGGACAAGCTTATTTGTGTTATGATTTTGACCTACGTCGACAAAGGTTCAATATCATTTTCTAGCATTAATGTAACTGATTAGGTCTGCGTGGATGCTTGTGATGTTTGTGTGGACGTACGTGAGTAATTGTGTTGTTCTGGTTGTGTGTTATCTTCCGATTGAGCATGTGGCTGTGATTGTAGTTGTTGAGTAAATTCGGTACTATTTTGTGACAATGGGACAGCATTAGGGCCTGTGTTATTTTCTTCTTCATGTAGATGGACTCGTGTTTCCTCTTTTAATTGGTCTATTATGCCTTGGACAAGAGATTATTTCTAATTATAGTTCTTCTCTGATCTGAAATTCTTTGTTCTGAAACATAAACATGTTACCTTCCTTGCTCTATCTCATGCGAACTCTTGGTTTGCCAGCCTTAGTGGACGCGGGCAGAAAGGTACTTACCTCCCGAGCAACATTCAAGATCGGAATTAATGCAACTGTATTTAAATTAGTAATGGGAGGTGCCGATGGTCTGGGAGGTGACAGTAGTATAGACGGTCTAAAAGGTTCGACAGGAGTATTTGTCCTGTGTGTCAGTCTACCGCTATCATCAGTTGTTTCGACTGTAGCATCTTTATCGGTGAGAGTCTTCCTGTTGAACTCCTCACCGCTGACGGTTCGCATGCTGAGACACCCAGCGTCAGCTCCAGGTGTGCCCCGGCGATCACCCCCGGGCAGAGGTCCTACACGTTTTCTTTTAGAACGAGTCTCCATGTTTAATGGGTTTCCCACGGACTAGTATTTATGTGGTCTGTGGAGTTTCCAGAGCAACGTTAGCCACGCCAGTAATTTCTCATTAGGGTGTCCGCCCTCCACGTGATTAGATAGTCAATCAGGACGTGTGGTTGTTTAGGGGGCTTTATTATTTTTAGTCTTTTCAGCTTGTTAGCTAAGTCAAGTAAATGCAGTATGGCGTGTATCTACGAGTATGTGGTGGGTGTGTAATAAGATTCTACTTCGTCCTCTTCCATCTGCACAAACTTTCTGACGATGCGGCATGTATTTAAAATTACAATTGTATTTATTGTTATTTATTATTATGATTATTATCATCATCATCATCATTATTATTATTATTGCATGGCGGCAGAAATAGGTAATGGTAGTACTTCCCTGCTGGACGTACTCTTTCACAAGTAGCTTTCCTGCTACTAAAATTATTTCTCTCGACGATCTAGTCACCTGTACAGTGCTGGTCATATAATTTACGTAAAGCCGTCACGCTTGGCAGGCTGGTTGCCGGTCGCTATAAAACAGACATAATGTATACGAGAAACTCCTCTCTCAAAAACCAAACGAGTAATATGTACCTACAGAGTTCAGAGCGACTCAAGCTTGACATCTATTTAAATTCAACTGTATAACGCTTGTGATAGGAAAAGGGACAACATTGATTTGCTCTTGACTGCACAAAACATTTGCATTAAATTCCTGCTGCGTATGTAAAAGTGAAATTTCATAGCTCTACGCATTTACGAGTATTTTGTGGCAGATTTGAAACCGCATATCACGCCATTGTTGTCA